GTCCGTTCGCCTTATGGTTATAGCTAGTAGTAAACTTATTCGCGATTCCTAGTGCTTTATTGATTTTCAGAAAGACTTCGCTCGTATAGTTTGAGCCACGATCCGAGACGATTTCACGTGGGATTCCGTGCTTTGAAATTACGTCGTTGATCAGCGCCTTGATGACTGATTCCGTGGTTTGGTCTATCAGCGGAGTGCAAATCATGAACTTACTAAAAGCACATACTGTAATGCAAATAAAGGTACTTCCATCTTCACATTGTGGTAGTGGTCCTATTATATCCGTGTGGATACGCTCAAATGGTCGACTTGGGACTGGAAAAGTTCCCATCTCTTCACGGATTATTTTTTGTGGGGGTGTTTTTACTTTTTGGCATATAGGGCATGTGTTGATGTATGTGGTAACATCTTGATACAAGTTTGGCCAAAAGTATTTGTCTTTGATTGATTTGTACGTCTTGTGTATACCTAGATGTGACCCTAGGAGAGGGCTATCATGAAACAGAGCGATTATCCTGGATTGCATATCTGCATCTGGAATTAGTAGTTTTGCTTTGTCATGAATGTTGTAGTATAAAGAGTTATTGTACACTGAGTACTGATGTATTTTGTCCTCAAATTCCTGAGGAAGTTCCTCTTGTTCGGTTTGGAAACTGTAAGAGTGGGCCATAGCTGGAATTCCTTCGGCTTTCCTGAATTTCCTCAAAGGAAGGAAAAGATCGTGCTATTATGGCATTGATGCATGGTAGCGGATAGCGGCTCAAAAGTCGCACAAAGTATTATGCTTTCCTCCCCGATATTCGATTTTGATGTCATAGGACTGGATAGCGATCTGGTACTTTGCTAATCGACCTACTAGATCTGATCGGTGCATTAATGATTTTAGAGGGGCGTGATCCGTTACTAGAGTAATTCGTGCGTTCGCCACGTATGGGTAGAAGTGCTTGAGCGCGAATACGATTGCTAAAGCCTCTAATTCGATGACAGCATAATTTTTCTCGTGCTTGTTCAATGAGCGGCTACAATACGCTATGGGGTGTTCTCCTTGCGTTTTTGGATTAATTTGCAAAAGGCAAGCACCTAACCCAATTGTTGACGCATCTGTATGTATTATGTATGGTTGGCCAAAAATAGGTGCTACCAAGAGAGGTGCTTGAACGAGAGACTGTTTTACGAAAGAAAGGCGCGTTCGTGGGCTTCGGTCTACCTAAATGGTGTGTCCTTCATTACCAGATTGTTGAGTGGCGAAGCAGTGATGGAAAAACGTGGCAGATAGCGGCGAAAATAGGAGGCGGCTCCTAGAAATGATTTCACCGCTTTAACGTTTGTAGGACTGGGAAGGTTTGCAATGCTTGCTACCTTGTCCGGGTTGGGACGAGTGCCATTTTTGCTAATGAAGAACTCCTAGGTATTTCACTTCGGTTTGGAAGAATGAGCATTTTTCCGGAGTTAGCTTCATTCCAAACGCTTTTATACGTTGAAATACTTCTTCTAGGTCGACCAGATGTTGGCTAATTGATTGACTTGCAATTATGATATCGTCAATATAGGCAAAACAACATGCTCGTAGTTCCCGAATTAGACTATTGGCTACTCGCTGAAATGTGGCTGGGGCTCCTTTTAAGCCTTGTGCCATAACTGTAAAATGATATAGTCCTAGAGAAGGAGGAAAAAGCTGTGCGCTCTTTATGTTTTTCTGTTAGAGGTATTTGAAAGAAACCGCTTTTGAAGTCGAGTACCGTATATATTTCCTTCCCGTTGACAAGATCTAATAGAATATCTTGCATGTGGGGGAATGCAATAGGTTTCGGTTTCGGTGATAGCGTTAATCTGACGGTAATCTACCGTGAATCTCCATTGGTCTTTATTTGGACCTTTCTTAACCAATACTATAGGGGACGCGAACTTGCTAGTGCTAAGGCTCAATGATGTTTATTCGTAACATTTCCTTGATTTGACGCTCTATTTCCTGTCGTTTTTCTCGTGGAACTCGGTAGGGTCGTTGTTTTGGAATCTTTGGATGTGGTATGAAGTTAATGTTAGTTATGAGTAATGGGTCCTTTGTAGCGACCGAGGTCTCCGTCCTTACCTACGAAAAAGTCTTCATAGTTTTCTAGTAGGGATTGGAATTTCTTTAATTGCGTAGTAGTTAGAATCGAAATATTGAGTTGAATACGATCGTGAATTGGTTTGAGATTTCCGCTACTTGGAAAGTGGGGAAGTTCTTCTGCAAAATTGGTTTCGGAGGGAATGTGCTCATGCCGTTGGTGAGATGATAAAATCTCCGTCGAGCTTTGCTCGCTGTTCATGAAAATATTGGTTTCCATTGCATGTTTGCTCCGACGAAAGTTGCTGTTGCCATATTTATGTTTTTGCGAAGTGTTATTGAATTTGAGCCTGCGTTGAAGATCCTTAGGATGACCCTGCCTTGAGTGTTTGGACACGAAAGTGTCTTTCCGATTTGAACCAGGTCTGGTCCTGCCTCGGCATCTTCTGTTTAGATCCTACCCTATCTTTGTTTTGTCTGAATGGGCTGGATCCTTTCACTCCTACGAAGTGTTGATTGCATTTATATGCCCTAAAAATAATTATCTTTTTTTTAGAGATTTGTATATCAAAGGATGTCTTCGCAAGAGGGAAATCAAGAGAGCAGCGACTTCTTCGATTATAATCCTATGGATGACTCGAGAGTACAGGTATTATTATAAGGTTTTTTTTGAAATTGAATGAAAGAAAAATTTCAGAGTCCTATGTTGGCATGCCCCCAGTGTGAAGAGGCCATGAGATGGCACGAGAATGTTGAAGTTCGGTTGAGTGCGCTGCGTAACAGTTCCATGCAGGTGGTTTCGTCTATTGGGGACCATCGAGATCGGTCGTTAGACGAACTCTCGGCTGCCAAGTTTGATCTTCGAGCGACTATGCAGCTTTATGAAGAGGTGTCCGCGGTAAGAGCATGAAAGTCTTGAGGAGGAAGGTGGCTACCATCTAAATCTCCTGTTTCCTGCATGATTAGAGTGACTTGCAGGAATGTGAAGCCGCTAAAAGGCGCTTCATCAGCGTTAACCTGGCCCTAGGTCAGGGCGGCAACCCGTGGACGGGTTTCTACAATGAAAACCGATGAACCGCTGATGACACCCCCAGTCTCTTCACTTGTTATTATTTATTTTTTTGAAAAAAGTTGTTCAAGAAAAACTTCCTCTATTTGTTCCAATTGGTGGTTTAAAACTCAATTATTTGAGTTTTTTGTTTACAGAGCCTTTTTGTTTTCGTGTAGAAAATTATTTATGTTTAATGATTAACTTAAAGACTAAAATTTTACAATGGAAGGCGCCCGCTACAGGAAAGAGTTTCTGGAAACGCTGAGGGTGAGTCCGAACAAAAACAAACCAGTTTTATTTTCTTTTTTCAAAAAAATTTTTTTGGCCTTCGGAGTGTCCCAACTGTGCGAGAGTGTCCTACAATGTCAACTACTCCCTGGCCCTTGATGCGTACCATCAACAGGAGGTTGATGGAACTAGGGCCGCGATAAAACGGTTCGAAGGAAATATTGCCAGGTGCCAACAGGTAACATTTGAATATGTATATGAGAATTTTAAATAGATTTGAAACATAAAAATATTTACGCTTCCCTTTCAGATAACGGCCTGGTATAACGGACAAACGTCCTATTTGGAACGTTCAGTTGGGACCCCCTTCGGGTTCATGGAGTACCCCCAAGAACACGAGCAGGCTTTGCCAGGCGAGGAAGAACGACTTCAGGAATGAGAATTGGCACCGCTTACACCTTTTGTGTTGTTTTATAATTTTCTGAATAGGGGTACATATATGTTCTTTAGTGAAAAAAATTGAAAAAGTGTCTTTGGAAGGGTGTAAAGGCCCTATTGGCTTATTTACTTATTACTGGTTGCTTGTTGAGTTTTCCCGGTAGATCCAGGACAAAACGTATGAAAAAAGTTCGCTTTATTAGCATGCAGTTGCAGTTTATTAGCAGGATACTGCGTACGAGGGCTAGCAGGACTAAACGTGTTAAAAAATAGTTGTAATATTTAGATGGGTCAAAATCTGCTTAGAAATTAGGTATTTCGATTGCTATTGATTTTGGGGATAGCCGAAAAGTGCTGTAGGTACGCGTAGGTTGAATGAAGAAGTTCTATGTGGTTTTGAGTAAGCCATGAATGTGAGCTACCGAAAGGATCGGGAAATGGTGTGAAGGTATCCAAGACTTTTTACGTCATAATTTTTGTCAATAGAGCTTTGTAGCTGATTTTATTCAAGGGGAGGTAGGCGGCTGATTTGCTCGCTTTGTTTTGATCGCGCCATGCCCTCTATTGCGGTTGTTATAGTCTAAATGGTTACATGGTCTTATGAATTTTGTTCGGATCTTCGAAGGCTTTTCCAAAGTTTTGTACCCGGTTTTCCATTGTTTCGATAGGTTAGGAGAAGAAAAGGGAACGTTTAGAACATATTTTAACTCGACTAAACATGTATTTATGATCAAACTGATTTTAAAGGGTGTTGATCCTGTTTTACGGGCTGAAATTTGCAAAAAACTGTATTTGTAAGGGTGCAGTGGTCGTAGTGGCCTATTTCTAATTAGTAAGTGTGTTTTTGAGTTTTACTAGCAGTATCTTGGAAGAAACCTGTAAAAAAAACTTTGATTTATTGGTGGGACTGCACAGAAGGGTAAACAGGGAAAACATGTTGGAATTGGGCATAATATTTGAAGGATTGATTTTTGTTGCAAAAAGATGCGTATTCCAGATGTAATTGGATTTTTGCGGATGGCCGGGGGATGCGTGGGTTCATGTCGATAGATTGAGCGATTTTCCTTTAGTTTAGGATGAGCCATGACTATGAACCTTGGAAACGTTGGGATGGTGATGTGAAGGCGTCTAGGGACTCATGTTTGGTAAGTTTCCTACACAGAATCTCATGGTTAGCGTCTTTATAGCAATAAACTTGAGCGGGTAGGTCGTCAACCTTTCCTGGGTTGAGCCATGCGTTCGTTTGCAGTAGTTGATCGTTGAACTGATTATAAGGTTTTGTGAAATTTTTACATCAGACATTCAAAATCTTTCAAGGTATGAATATTCAAAGTATTTACCTGTTTAAGGATACGCCATGCTTGATGCATTCAAATCCAATTTTTCGTACATTTGATAGGGTACCTTTCCTATTTTCTGGAGAATTCTGTTTTATGGGTTGGCTACCGTATCAAGATGTTTTGTTGTTGGAGGATTAGGGTATATGAGGTCACTGTCACTCTTGTGTTGGCTTTACAATGTCCTGTTGGGGCGTGTTATGTGGACTAATCCCCAATCCTACGCTACAAGACTGACCTTGTTTAGTCGAAAGGTTGGTTTTTTTTCTGTCCATTACCAGTTCTTCTAAATGTGTCAACTTTTCTCTACTTTATTGAGTGATATGTATATATATTTTTTTATAGAAAGATGTCAACTACGACTGAAAGTGCTTCCGATCACATGTTCGATGAGTTCGGAGTTTTTACCTCGGATTCGGAGCATGATCATACGGTATGTCTTTCTTTTCCCTTTATTATTGAAAAGTGATCAAAAAAACTAATTTGTGGTTCTGTTCAGACAGCGTGTGCCGTTTGCTGTCCTCAGCGGGATTGGGCCAGGAATCTTACTGGGGAAGTGACTACTGTCCGCGCCAAATGTCTGGCGCTGGCTAAGGAGCTGAGTATGCTGATTGAGTCGAATCGGCATGAGGTGGAAGCGCTGTTAAAGGAACAGGACCATGTAAGGCGGCGTCTGAACAGGAGAATCAAGGTAAGGAGAGAATTTAGATTACTTTCTAGGTTTTGATTTATTTTATGGATCATTGTCAGGATCACTCACAGCTTGTCCAGATGGAGTCGCGGATTGGAATGGGGCTCTGCCGTGGGCAGAAACCTAAACGTGCCGTTACTGACCCCAACTAATCCAGGCCTTATTTACTATACTGAATAAATATTGTTGATTTTAGCCGTTTTTTTTTGAAAAGGGGTTCCCTTGAAAGGGCCTGCTATTTATATTTGTGGATAATTGTTGTAATCTAAGTTGAGCAAGGACACGAAAGAATCTATCTTTCAAGAAATGGACAAGATGGCCGATAACCGATTCCAGGAGGAGATGATGAAGATCTTAGCCGTAAGTAAGGAGCTAGATTTTGATTATTATTCTGTTGCTATCTCTATTTGATTTCAGCCTCCGGAATGTGAGGGATGCGGTGCCTCGTCATTCAATGTCGAGTCTCTCAATCACTCTCTACAGTCGGGTCTCCAGTGGGCCGAGTCCTAGAACACAAGATTGCGGAAATCAAGCGGGACCATGAAATGGTCGTGGGACTACTACGTAGAAATATCGAGACCGACAAAGGCCAGATAGAGTTCTTCGATAGGGTAAGGATTAGAAATTTTTTCCAGTTGTGGGTTTATTTATTATGCCCCAGTATTTGTTGTTCAGGTTAACTTCTTTGTGAGAGGAGATCTGAAGTTCTGTAAGGACTTCTTCAAGTCTCCCCGCTCGAGTCAGCCGCACCATACTGGAGAGGGTCATGCGGGAGAGCTCGAAAGCACGGATGCGGACGACGAAGCAGAAGAGGAACATCGCCCGCTTGGGAATGAATCCCGCTGTTGGGAAGATCTTACCGAATCGATGGAATAATGTAACTGTTATTCAGTTTTCTTTCTCTTGTGTCAATAAAGATGCAATCCAATATTGTTTTTCAAAAATATTTGAATCAGGGTGTCTGGTGAACTTCTGTTGCTATGGGTACCCTCGGATCTAATCCGATTATTGTGAGCTTGTGGGTCAAGCAAGTATGGGATACCTTTGGTTTCTGGAATGCCATAATCCCGGGTGTCATCTGTTTCTCCCTCGAAGCAAGATTAATGAACTTGGTCCGGTAGAGGGGATTAGTTAGTGACAGTTGGGTCGGGCTAATTCAAATTAATTGCTTTGCTCTTTGGAGCGAATGCTAATCCGATGGGTCGGGTTCTCCTTCGAGATTAATGATCTCGACAGAAGTTCGTGGGTGATGAAATCTCGAAAGTATGCTCCTAGTTGAACATCATCATTCAAGGTAAGGATTAGTTGCTGACAGCTTTCAGGGAGGCTGTCGGTGAACTATTGTTCGTCTATTTCGAGGTACCATGGCCAATGGTGAAGAAATAGCGAGGGATTGGATGAGCGACATCCGAATTATAATCCAATTGGTTCCGCTGCCCCTCGTTAAGGAGAGAGGTGCATAGCGGTAATTACTCGATAGAGCTCGATTTAGTGGCGATCGGGTCCTTTCATTGATGTACGGCAATACGGTCATTATATTAATTTGTTTATAGCTATTACGTTTATTAGAGCGATTGCTCTGTGAAAGAGGAAAGAAAAATATTCTTGGATATCACTAGTTTTCTTATAGTACTAGAACTACCGATTGTTCCCTAATATATATAGATTGTTTTCGTCTAGCTAAACATTTTATGATCATAATTTGCATAGAATTATGTCCCTTTTACATGGTGTTAGTATACGTATATGTGTACCATACTGATTTTGATCCCTTTCTTCCAAAAAAAACCTTATGGTTATTTGAAGTTGGGTAATTTGACCAAACTTGTTAACTGATTGAGGTGGGGACTGACCTTAGTTCTTTGGACGTCCGGTCTCACGGCAATAATCGCGTTATTACCCGTGAACGCAGCAGACTGGCAGCAGGACGCTCTGCCCGGTGCCGTCTGTTTTAGGTGTATCCCAGTAAAAAGTGAAACTCCAGATTCTTACAATCAATGATCTGTCTGGTTTCCTTAGTACTTAGGATTAATCAAGCGATTTGAATGAGTTAAGTTTACTTACTAGTTTTATATGCATATTCTGGCGTGTAGTACCAAGACAATAATAGTACATTGTAGTGATACTGTAATTTTGAACTTCTACAGGGGTAAGCCGTGAAAGGGAGGAACACGTCGCCAGGACCGTTTTAATGGTTCATAATGCGATATTGCGCACTGCAATTGAATCGCATTATTTATTTATTTATTTTTGAATTTTTGCGCTTATGAAGGTTTTGCGATGTAAGCTTGAGCTTAGACATAATTTCATTGTGATTAGACTAAGGTTT